TTTGTTGATCCTATCTGCTTTTTCCTAACCTTTATTTCATTTATAATCTTTATTATTTCCCTCCTTCTGTTGCTTTGGGTTTTTCAGTGTCAGGGATTAAACCCAAGGCCTTCATACTGAGCTACATCCCAGGCTTTCTGTATTTTATGCCAGGGTCTTGTTAAGTTATTAAGTTGCCTGGGCTGGGCTTGAGCTTATGATACATCTGCCTCCGCTTCCCGGTGTGCTGGAATTACAGGCTGTGCCACCACCCCTGGTTGTCTGTTGATCTTGTGTTCTGTATATTACTGAATTTATTCATCGGTTCTAACAGGTGTGTTTTGCTCTTTGTGGTTTTTCTTTTTTGCTAGAGCTTTAAACTATATAGATATTTATGTTACACCAGCTGTGGTGGTACATGTCTGTTATCCCTGCTATTTAGGAATCGGAGGCAGGAAGATTATGAACTCAAGGCCAGCCTGGGCATCTTAGTGAGACTTTGTCTCAAAAATAAATAAATAAATGAATTGATTAATTAATTAAAAAGGGACAGGGATATAGTTTAATGGTGGAGTATTTGCCTAGCTGGCGTGAGGACCTATGTTCAATCCCCAGAACTGAAACAAAACAAAAAACAAAAAGCAAATCATATCATGTGCAAACAGGGATGCCTTGACTTCCTCCTTTGTGATTTGGACTTCCTTTATTTCTTTCACCTGCCTGTTGCTCTGGCTCAGACTTTCAGTACTACAAGGAGTTGACTACAAGGAGTGAAAGTGGACAATGTTGTCTTGTTCCTAATCTTAGAGGAAACACTTTCAAGTTTTCCCACATTCAGTATAACATTAGCTGAGGGTTTATCATATGTGGCCTCAATTGTGTTGCAGTATGTTAGTTCTATATTTAGAGTTTGTTTTTATCACGAAGGCATACTGGCTTTTGTAGAATGCTGTTTCTGCGTCTATTGAGATGGTTATATGGTTTTGCCCTTTGTTCTGTTGATGTATCACATTTATTGATTTTCATGTGTTGAACTATCTTTGTATCCATGAGATAACTCCTACTTGATCATGGTGTATGATTTTTCTGATATGCGGTTGGGCTTGATTTACTAGTATTTCACTGTTGGGAGCAATGCTACATAATTTTAGGGAAAAATCATTTGGTTAGCCTAGTTCTCCTGGCCACAGCTCAGCTATGGCATTCCGAGATATAATTCCATTTTGGCCTCCAGTCACAACTGAGACCTCAATGATCCAGTGATGCAGCGATTTTCCAGGACAAGATTACATCAGCTGAAGACATCCTGGGAGGAACAAAATCTTCACCTACTCAGTTCCTCATTGTTCTTGGATTGTTACATCTTGTTTTGGGATGTACTGAACTCTCTGCAAGTCATCTGTTACCTTTGTTTCTCCCAATATACTGAATAAAAGGTGTGGTAAGCTGGGGGCTTTCCTCTTTGCTGCCCAGAGCAGCACTGATCAAACCCAAAGCTCAGCTTTTTCTCAAAGTCTCATTTGTCTACCTTTCCTGTAATTCGTCTTGTGCTGCCGTGGCTCGCAGGAGACCAGGACTCACTGCAGAGGTTCTAGTAACGTCCCCTTCCCCTGTTCCCTACATTTCACTGATAACTTTTTGCACCTATTTTTATCAAGGATACTAGTATGTGGTTTTCTTTTTTCTTTTTCTTTTTTAAATTTTTCTTAATTTTAATTTTTATTAATACATGTTTGCAGTACATAATGATTACATTCATTGTGGGGAGTTGGAACATGTACATAATGTATCCTAATTATTTTTATGTCTTTCATTTTCTTTTTAAAAAATTTCTTTGTTGTTGTTGTTGTTGTATTGTGTCCTTTTCTAGGTTATTGCCTTCCTTCAGGGAATCCTGCATCTAGAAGTGAAAGGTTAATAACCACTACCATGAAAAAACAAGAAAGTATAAAACTCAAATGACAGAAGAGATACACAAATGAGCAAGAGGAAGGAATCAATCCTAGTTACCCCAGAAAACCATCAAACCAAGATTAATAAGAGGAAGAGAAGCAGAAGACAACTAGCAAAATTCTAAGAGTAGGTTATTGCGCATCAATAATGAATGTAAATATATGAAATTCCATAGTTAAAAGATACAGACTTTATTTTTTTAATTGATTTTATTGGTACGTTTTAGGTATACAATATAATGACATTCATCATTGGAAATTTGCACCTTCACGTAATCTCTCTTGGTTCTTATTTTTCCCCTTTCCCCTGGCCTTGCTTCAACCCCTCCATCCCTCCCTATTTACAGAGACTTTGTTTTCATTTTCTCATATTAATTCCATTCCCTTCTTTCCTTTCCCCTACCCTTCACACTTCCCCTTCCCCTTTGCCCCTTTTCTTCCTATTTCACATTATCTATTAGACCTTTTAGTCCTTATTTACAAAAAGATACAGACTTTTGAAAAAGATACAGACTCAATGAATGGATTTAAAAATAAAATAAGGCCCAATACATGCTGTCATCAAGAAACTCCCTTTACCAGTAAAGACACAGGTAAACTGAAAGTGAAGAGATGGCGAAAGAGTCTATGCACTCCACAAGCGTCCTGCCACTTTACTACCAGCCAGTGTGCTTTCCAGGCCACTCCAATTGGAATATGTTGTTTATTCTTTGCTGTGTTCCATTTTTGCAGATGGGGGTAAGCAACAGGCAATTCTTTTTTTTGGTTTTTTTTGGTACTGGGGATTGAACTTAGGACCCTGTGCTTGCAAGGCAAGCGGTGGAACCACTGAGCCAAAACCCCAGCCCAAATTGCAAATGATTTTTTTTTTTTTGGTACCGGCAATTGAACTCAGGTCTTTCCGCTTGCGAGGCAGGCAGTGGAACCACTGAGCCAAATCCCCGGCCCCTCATCAGGCAATTCTTTTGGCTATCTTGCTAACATTACTCACCTGAAATATTTTGTTTATTTACTCACTTGTTTGGGTTTTTTGAGACAGGTCATACTATTTATTCAAGCTGGCCTTGAACTCACTACATAGCCCAAGCGGGCCTCAAACTTGAAGCAGTTCTCCTGCCTCAGCCTCCTGAATGCTAGGATTACAGGCATGAGCCACCATCCCCAGCTTCATTGTTTATTTTAATGCTCAACTTGTCCTAGATAAAGCCAGCAGGAGCACATTTAATCTGGCTTCTGTATCCTTTGCAGATGTCTCCATCAATCCTTGAGCCATTTCTTCCTTTCTGGAACATCAAGATACCCAAAGTTTTGTACTTTCCCTACATTAACTTTATATTTTAGGGCCATGTTAGCTTTCTATTGTTGGAACAAAATACCTGACATATACAACTTAAAGGATGAAGGATTTATTTTGGCTCATCATTTTAGAGGTTTTGGTCCATAGTCAGCTAGCTTTAAGGTAGAAGCATCTCAGGGGAAGGATATGGCAGAAGAAAGCTCCTCACCTCAGGGTGGCTAGAAGCAAAAAGAGGAAGGGAGAAACAGAGGCAAGATACACTCTTCAAGGGCGGGGGATTTAGCTCAGTGGTGCCACCACCTGCCTTGAAAGTGCAAGGTCCTGAGTTCGATCCCCAGTACCAAAAAAACAAAACCCTAAGATATACTCTTCAATGCCCCCCAGGGACCACCTTCTCCAAACAGTTCCCACCTCCTGACAGCACAGTCAGCTCTGAACTCATCAGCAGATCAATCTATCGATGAGGCTAACACCCCAGGATCTAATTGCCTTCTAAAAGCCTCACTCTGAACACATGAGACTTTGGGGGAACATTTTAATCCGAGCCATAACACCCTGGAATCAGTTGCTTCTCTGTAGAGCCCTGGTACCTCTGTGGAGAATGATATTCAGAAATGAAGATGTGGGTGGGTGTGGTGGCATGCGCCTGTCATCCCAGCACTTGGGAGGCTGAGGCAGGAGGATCACCATGAATTCCAGGCCAACCTTGACTACATAGCAAGATCTTGACTCAAAAAAAAAAAAAAATCAAAATATGGACTTTAGGCATGCCCATTGGTACTGGGGCATCCTTTCTACTTTCTGGGGCTAGAGCTCACAGGTGTGTGTGTCTCTCACATGTGCATGCACACTCTTATATGGGTATCTATTTTGGTATTCACTCTCATCTATTAAAAAAACGAATAAATTCACCCTTCAATTCTAATCCAACTCTACTGAATTTATTTATTCTAGCCTTCCCTCTTTCTGTTTTCTGAATCTATTCTCTGTCAGTGAACAGCCTGGCTCCGGTTAACTTCAGTACATCCACTTAGTGATTTGTTTAGTCCCCTTGGAGGTAACCAATCTCCAACCATACCACTCCGTGACCCCTTGGCATTGTGGGAACTTTTGGGGCACTGTGTGGCCAAACGAGGAGTGTTCCAGGGCTTCTTTGGCTTTGACTTGGGACTTTCATAGTATCATGGCAGCCCTTTCATGCTTTGAAGAAATTTTTACACTGTACCTGACCATTTTCAGCTGTTTTCAGTAGGAAAGTTGGCCAGAATAAAATTGTTTTCAATTCTCATAAGTTGAACCAAATATGATATTATGATGAGAAAAAAAGTTGGAAAGCAGTATTTTGGGAGTTGTTCTTTACCTCAGTTTTCTCCTGGACCAGGTTTAGTTGTAGCTTCTCATAGACCATCAACCCTAACAAAGGTATTCAGCGCACAGTGGTCAGTGCACTTAACAGATGAATGACGGGGCAAAGCACGATAAACTCCGTGGAAGTTCTCATTTTAAAAAGGAGAAGCATCACGGAGCCCTCACTAGCCTATATCAGTGCTTCTCAAACATCACCTCGTGCGCGAACTGCCTGGTGGTCTTGTTAAGAGGCCGGGCCGGAGTTACTAGGTCTGGGGAAGGGCTGAGAGCCGCCATGTCTGTTTCCAGGCAGGGCAATGCTAAGGACTATGCTCTGCATAGCAAGAGTTTCTAGAATATTCCTCACCCTTATTCTCCTGGTTAGGCGGAGTGTATTAAATCACACAACCAAAAAACCTGGGAAGTATTTTTAAAATTACATTTTTAATTTTTCTTCATTAGCAAACATACACACAGAAGGGTAGAGTGAACCCCCACTACACGTAGCATTTACCGGTCTTCCTTTATAGCTTCCCCTGCCCGTGAATTCCTTGTTCCTAGAATATTTTAAAGCAAATCCAGCCATCATGTCAGTGTGCACCTCTACCAGGTAAGGATCAAAAATTGAGAACCACAGTGTAAATTATCACACAAAATTAACAATATATAACAAACAATTAACAAACCCTTGAAATCATCTAATATATCACACACCATATTCTAAGATACAGATTTTTCAAGCATCTCCCCATGCAATAAATGAGATTCCTGGTCAGCTCCCCTAGGGTCTGGGGCTTTCCTTAGGGGCTGAATGCAATTCCTCCTAAAACTGTATTTTATGGAACTGCCAATTTCATTCTTGGGCGGTTCTGTTTCTTAATAAACAATGGTGGGCCGAGGATTTAGCTCAGTGGCATTATGTCTGCCTCACAAATGCAAGGTCCTGAGTTTGATCCTCGGAACCAAAAGAAACCCCCCAAAACAAATAAACAATGGCAAAAACTTTAGAATTATACTTTTTTGAATCTGAACCCCACCTCCGTGGGTCTCTACCCAATCTTAGCCTTGCGGCTGGAACAGTAAACAATAGGCTGGCCCAGGAGGCCTGGAAAATTGGCCCTGCCTCTGGCACCCAGGTGACCTTGACATAGGCATTTAAATGGGGTTACTTCAGGAGAGGCTGGTAGGTTCTAGATCCCCAAAATCTTTTAGCTTCAAACTCCTCTATTTTCTCCCAGACATCTTCCTACTGCCAGGATCTCAGGCATTTTTGATCAGTGTATTAATTGGTTGTATAACACCCAGAGCTGTGGTTAACTGGCCATTCCCTTCCCCATTCCTGGCTACAGGCAAAACAGGCTTCCTTTAATGCTGTCAGGTCCGCTGCTTGCATGGAGTTTGTCTTTCTCACAGCCTGTCCCTAAAACCCACAAGAAGTAGCCAGCACATTATCTTCTGTGATCAGACAGAGATGGGGCACATACAGGGTGTGGTACGGCCATAGACAGTCTCTGATATCTTGACCTCCTCTTACCAAGTCCCAAGGTTCTGGTGCCCCTGAATATCAAGAGATGACACGTGGTTTCCTGGCCAGCTTTATGACCAAATGGTGAAGACTGCTAAATAGCTGGGCTGCGACCTGCTCAGCTGGTGCCATGTAACAGAAGCCCTCAGTGCAACACTGAGTTTCCAGGTTCCAAGTTCTGTGTTAGGGCCCTTGTGGCTATGTGTGTCAGGATCCAGACTCAAAATCATTTCAGCACAAAGCTGTATTGATCAGAAGGATGAGGGCATCTCCTCCAATGGCCTGGTTTCCAGAAAAGCAGGAGGGAGATGGAGCTTCCTCTCCAGCCTTGCCTTTCCTCGCTCTTTTGGAGGCTCTTAACCCGCTGTGGACCCCTCAGAGTGTTCTCATGAGGTTCCCTAGGGGCAGCTGTGTAAGCTCTGATACCCAGACCCATTGAATCAAGATGTCTAGGGGTGGAGGCACCCAGAACATTTTCTGTATTTCTCATAACTTGAGCAGCAGGACTGTGGGACTGTTATAAGCCTTTTTAGGGCCAGGTAGCCACCCCTCTGGCCAGAGGGCCCTGTGGATGCACAGTAGCTACCAGGCAGGGAGAAAGGGGCAAGCCCATGCCAGCTCCCTGGCTCTTCTCGCTTCTCTTCTCCTGTCCCAACTTCAGCTGCAGTGTGTGTGACAGTCATTTCCTCTAACTTAATTTTGGTCACTTAACCTCGAAGAATCAAGCTTGAGGGAGAAGCTGGATTGTGTCTTTAGGAATTGGTGGGCGATCTGGCCATGAATAGGGGGTGGAGAAAGGAAGAGGAAGAGGATAGTGATGGACGCCTCTTTCCATGAGAATTTCGTGTACATAAGGAAGGAAGGGCCAGGGCCAGGGAGAGACCTGGAGTCCAGGGCTGGTGTTTGGCATGGCAGAGGCTGAGCGTGTGAGCAGAGGCCTCCTCAGTCTGAGGATGAAGCGCACTACCTGGCCTTGGGGCCTATCTGGGCTTCAAGACCATAAGCCCTTCCAACTGACTGTACCCTGGGCTGCAGGGTAGAGCTCTGACCACAGTCTCCACTGCAGGATTCAGTGTGGGGCTGAGCTAGGGGATTCAGACCTTGCCAGGACAGTCCTAATGGCCTTCCTATGGGGGGTGGGGCTCCTACACAATGTTCCCTCACCCAGCTCTGATCCAACCCCAGCCAGAGGCCTCACAGGGCCTGTCCCTTCTTGTAGGAGGGCTTCCAGAGGCAGGGCTTGTTACCTGTGATATTTTCTCCACACCAGGGGCTCTCTGACCCCAGGGTTCTGCTTCCAGTGCTGGGCCAAAGGAAGGGTGAGCGGGATCTCCCCTCAGGGAGGTCTTGGTGCCAAGCCAAAGGCCAGGTTGGGAGGCCAGGACCCCAAGTTCTTTCCTGCTCTGCTTTGTTTGTGCTGCATAACCCATTGCAAGAGCCCCCGGGGTCAGGTCCAACGCTACACCAGGTCCCAAACTAGGCACACCAGGAACAGAGCAAATGACACCATACTTGGGGTTGAATGTCCACTTCTCTTTCCAAACAATGCCAAGCACACAACCTAGGTGTGGCAGGGGGACAGAGCCTGGCGGGGGTTCGGACATTACACACCTAGGGGGCCCTTGGTGGAGACGGGCAACTTAACAACGGGTCTGAAAGTCAAAAGAGAGAGAGCTGGTTAGTGGGGTGAGGAGCAGTAGGGGAGGCAGGGGCTGTGGAGTTCAGGCCCAGACACAGGGCCTGGCCAGCACCATGGGACCTTGGCCCTCACAGCAGCCCTGCTTGGGGCCCATTACCAGGGGTGGAGGTGGCACACTCTGGCCTCAATATCTGTGTGGGTGTCCAAGCAGTGCCGAGTGACTGGATGAACTCAAAACCAGCTCTCAGAGAAAGCAGGGCTGAGCCTCTTGGTCTCTCTGAACCTCAGAGTCCTAGTATGTAACATGGGGACATTCCTTATCTGGGGCCTGCAGTGGAAGGCACGTGGGTGAAGGGCTCTGTCCACCCCCAGGTGTTGGGCACTGACATCCATCTTGGTCACTGAAGGACCCTCAGGGCCCAGAGCATGGTAAACATGTGGCCTGCCACTGGGGTGGTGCATGAGGGCCTGCCCGTGGCTTCGGCAGTCCACTGGTGCCCATGGGCTATATCCTCTGTGTGCGTGCGTGTGCATGTGCATGCGTGTGTGCATGTGTGTATGTGTGCGTGTGCGTGTGTGTGTGTGGATGTCTTGCTGCTGATCTCTTTCTGAGTATCTGGGTCTCAGGTGGCAGAGTGGGCATCTTTGTTAAGGACCAAGTTCTCAGAGCCCTAGATGGGGCTTGGGGGCCATCCTATGCCCTGTTCAGGATGTCATCAGGGCTGGCTGGAGTGCTGGGCAAGGAGCTGCTGGGCAGGAGGGCTATTTGGGGCTGGCAGGGCTCAGACGTACTCTCGGGCAGCAGTTGAGGGTCCTGGGCGATAAGGCTGTGGGCTGCTGTTGGCTCTCTCAGGCTCCGGGCATGTGCAGCAGAGGAAGGAGCCCCCCAGCATGGCCAGGCCAGCTGAGGCCCAGCCTACGAACAGAGCCGGGCCAAATTCAAACCTGCAGAACAGAAGACGACCAGCTTTCAGGTATGGCTGCAAGCCCCAGCCCTGCCTCACCTGGCCCTCTCTGGGGCTCCTCTCAGGGGCCTGGGAGAGGGAGGGCAGGGTGCAGGGAGCTGGAGGTCAAAGTGTTCAAGGCCCCTCATCTCCCCAGATAAACTGGGATAAAAATTCTTTCTTCCTCCTTCGTCCACCGTCCTCTGAGCATATCAATGCCACACAGAAACCTAGGCCCGGGGTGGGCCTGCAGGCTGGAGGTCCACTCTCCAGCCCCTGCTCTGGGCACTTGAGGCTCATTTCCCCATCTGGCCAGTGGAGGGGGCCTGGGAGGCTCTCAAGGTCTGAATAGGCAGCCAGGGCTGCTTCCCACTCCCTTCTGGGGAAGACCAGGCTCCTCCCCCAGCATCTAGGCCCTCCACACTGGGCACTGCTGGCCTGGCTGGCTCCTCCCTTGTCTCCAGCCTCTGTGGCTTAGCACAAGGCACCCCTCCTGGAGTGCCTCCCTAGCCTACTCTGCCTTCAGGGCTTAGTTCCCATGCCACCTCCTTGTGGAGGCTTTTCTTGATGCCCCCATGCTCACCCTGCCCCTTCCAGGAGGCCCTTCAGTCGCCAAGAGCTCCTGGAGGGCAGACAGAGGCTGGGATTCATCCAATCCAGGCAGTCCCTGGACAGTTAAAAGGATGAAGGGCCCAGTCTCAGCTTGGCCCCTTGAGCTTGATCTTGCTTGGCAGGCCTCTGTGGCTGTAGCTGCCACCCAGGGAACAGGCTCACACCCAAAGCCTCCTCTTTTTCCTCTCCCTTCCACACCTCTGCCTACTCTAGGGAGCCTTCCTTGCTGTCCAGGCTTCCTTTCTCCTCTGCCTTCTACTGCTGGGCCTGTTAGAATGTCTCAGATATTCCTTTCTTTGCTTCTGGTTTGGCTGGGAGGAGCAGGGTGAGCCAGACTCTTCTGAGATTCCCTGACTCAGCCTCTGTGCCCTGACCTTGTAAATTCTGACCATTCTAGCTTCCAGATATCTCTAAATCTGCTTTCCAGGGCTGCCTTCCTGCCCCTGAGCTCTCTGCTGGAGACCCTCTGCCATTGCCATCCTATGGGTTCTATGCCCCTCCCCCATTGTGCATACCTCAGCAGAGGGATTGCGCTGCCTTCCATCCCAGGATGAAGAATAGTCCTGGAAGGCTGCTAGGCCTGGCCCCATCTGCCCTTTTTCTCCAGTCTCATCTCTCTGGTCCCATAAAACTGCTTCGTCTAATAGGAAGCCACCCTGGCCCGCTTCCTTCAGAGGAAATAAGAGCAGCTCAGGTGTACTGAGCCATCTCTCGGCCTAGGCACTGTGCTAACCTCTACCTGCATTGTCTGGCAGACTCGGCCACCATGTGAGGGCTGGCTTGGGCTCTGGCTCCATTTTACAGAGGAAGAAGCCAGGCATGGAAAGATTAAATAACTTTCCCAAGATCCTGCCAGAACATGCAGGGCTAAGATTAGAACAGAGCTCAGAGCCAGGGCCTTAGCTCCTTGGAGGTCCTTGCTGTGCCTGGCCGCCCCTCATCAGGTTCCTGCCCATATCAGAGGCCTAGCCTGGCTCCCTGCTCCAGAGTTTCTCAGACAGCAACTGGGTCTCGTTCCCTACTTCCAAGTAACTGCTGGCCACAGAGTAGTGGGCCCAGAGTAGGCAAAGCAGGAGCCCAACCCCAGCACTCACCTGGCATTGACAGGTGTGCTTGGGTTGAAGAACTCCTGCGTTACCAGGGTGGCATACCAGGAGACAGCAGTCAAAGTACAGAGGCCTGAGGACAAAGCAGAGAGGTGCTCAGCTTTGCCCAGTCCCTGGGCAGCCACCCTGTGCCAAGAGGGTAGAAGAGGAAGCACGGACACTCACCTGCCAGGAGGAAGAGGGCACCCCCAGAGATGGCCACACGGCCCTTGGCGATGGGGTTGCTGTCTCCAACTCGTGTGCACTTCATGCCCACGACGCTGAGGACCATCCCCACGAAGCCCAGGAGCACAGCCAGCACCATCAGGGCTCGTGCTGACTGGATGTGACCTAAGGCAGGGCCAGGACTGCGCTGAGCAGGGGTTGGGAGGGAAGGGATGAAGATGGAGGTGGTCGGTGTAGTGTGTGGGGCCATGTGTGCAAGTCCACATCTGTAGTGGGAGGAGCCTGCATGGGAGGGGTTTGGGCAGGCGCTGGCTGAGGCCAGACCACCTGCCTGCAGGTAAGACTATGAAAGGTGAATATGGGGGTGTGAGGACAGGGTATAGGGTGAGGGTCCCCTTCATCATTGACCCTGTTTTCACTCCCTCTTGCAGGCTCCTCCCAGTTGTGCTTTGGTGAGAGGATAGTTTGAATTGGCTTTTCTACTACTTTGTCTTTTTTTTTTTTTTTTTTGTACTGGGGATTGAGCTCAGGACCTTGTGCTTCTGCCGCTTTGTCTTGAGCCTGGTTCACTCTCCCAAGCAGTTCTTCCTGGGCTGCTCAGTTTCAATAGAAGGAAAAGCTGAGTGTGTCTGAGGCCCACCTCAGCCCAGCCAGGCCCCAGGCAGCGACCCTCACCCCCATCAGCCCCTCTGACTCTGGTCACCTTCCTCTCTGTCTTGTGAATCACCCTCAACAGCCAGATGCCCCCTGCCCCGTCCCAGCCCCTGGCAAGGGTATGCAGGTCAGTCCTGGGCTCCAGGCCAGCTCCGGAGACCTGGGCCCCTGAAGGAGGCCTGTGACCTACCTGGACCCATGCAGTGGGGCTGGTTGAGGGCAGCCCTGCCTGGTTGCCTGTGGGGCCCTGGGCAGAGTGTGGCTGTTCAGTCCCACCAAAGGTTACAGCGCAGGTACCCGCTTATAAGCCAGTCTGAGTCTCAACTCCACAGCCCAGGAAGAGAGAGGCTCATGCCAAAACTCCTGTGTGTGTGTGTGTGTGTGTGTGCACGCGCGCGCACACACGCGCATTGGCACACTTGCCGGCATGGAGGACTGGGCAGTAGTTGTGTGCACACAAATGTGTGTCTGCGTATAGAAAGTGGGGAGAAGTAGACTAGGGTCTCGGACTTTTGGGCTTTTGGTGTGCCAGGCTCTCTTATTTGAACAAGGTGTTAGTATCCCCTTTTACAGAGGAGGACCTCAGAATATAAAAGCGCTCGTGTCTCACAAGGTTACAGTGGACTCCAAGATGCCAGACCCTACCCAGAGCCCCCTGCTCCCAAAGGGCCCAGTATTCACAGGGCAGTGGCAGGAGATCATGCAGGGAGTTGGAATATGGGGTGCAGTGCTGACAGCAGACTGTAGGAAAGCTTGCTGTGGGCTCCCAGACTACCCCGTACCCCACCTCCCAGCCCACCAGCCCGAGGCCTACCGTCCAGGGCGAGCAGCGAGTCATAGAGCTTGCACTGCACCTGACCAGTGCTCTGCGAGGCGCAGGACATCCAGAGTCCTTCGTAGAGGCCCACGGCCGTGATGATGGCATCACCTGCATAGGAAGACTGCTTCCATTGTGGCAGGGCTGTGCTGGCAATGATGCCCACCCAGCCACCCAGGGCCAGGAAGTAGCCCAACAGCTGAAGACCCGAGTTGGCCATGGCCCAAAGGAGGGGACCAAGGGCCCCGGGCTCAGAGCTGGGCTGGGGTCCTGGGGTTTGCTGTGGTCATGGCCAGGAGAAAGAACAGCTGGGCAGGGGAGCAGTGAGTGGTCAGAAGCAGAGGAGGAGAGGGGACAGCAGCTGCAGCAGCAGCAAAGACAGTGGCTCTGGGCTCCAGAATGCAGAGGGAAAGGCCAAAGGCCCGCCCACAGCAGCCGCCTGAGCTCGCCAGGGTATCCAGCAAAGCTCATGCCCAGCCCCCTGGGGGTGAGGGGCGGGACTTATGGCCCAGGTGGGTACCTCACCCTACCCCCACCCCAAGAATAGAGAAGGGAGGGGCTAGGAAGAGTGATCCTGCCTACTCCAGGCTTTTCTACCCTTTAGGAGCCTGACTCAGGTCCCCTAAAATTCTCATCCCTACCCTGAGCACCAGCTCTTGAGATGATGGACTTTGCTCCTGTAAGGGGATCTGACCCTTGAGGTTCCCTGCCCTCTGCCTTGAGGACTGAAAGGAAAAGGAATTCCAGCTTGCAGCAGGTAAAATTTGATTTAGACATCAGGGAGAACCTCTGAGGCCAGATGTGGAGAGGCAAGGCTGGGAATTGAGTGCTGGGGAGAGGGTTTCTGGGGAGCTGGGATCCATGTACACCAGAAATAAGGAGGCCAGATGGCCAAACCAAGGAATATGTACTATGGGGTGTGTTTGAGATCTGAGAGGTCAGAAGAGGGGCCCCACTGAGGCTGGGCCAAAGCTGGCTACAGGCCGCAGGGGACCTGGCCGGGAGCTGGGAGACAGCACCAGGCTTCTGGCATTGGCCTAAAGGAAGGCGGATTGCTCAGCCCATTAATCCCCTTGCTGACTGGTTCAGCAGCTCCTGCTGGGACCTGGGGCAGTGGGCTGGGCCCCCAGCTCCAAAACAGCCTTGGGGGAGCAGTGGCCTCTGCATATTCCTGGGGTTCAGGCTGCCCTCTCCTAGAGCCCCGCCTTTCCCTTCTATCGCATTAGAGCTCAGCCCTCCGGAACAGGGGAATGTTTAACTCTCCTCGAGCTCATTAGCAATCCCCTCACGTCCACTTCAGCTCCATGGCTCAGAGTGGGTGCAGGAGGAATGTTACACCCCTACTCTCACTCCTGCAAGACCCTGGCCACCCCCTGCATCCCCAGCAGCCCACTCGCCTTTCCTGGCTTGCACTGGGGGACTCCAGGGTCCTTCTGTGACTCCAGCCAGTTTCCTCCCCCATAGCCCCTGTACCCCTCCACAAGGACAAGTCCCCAGCCTGCTCCCTTACATTCTTCACATGGCTATGCAAACGAGAGGGTGCCAGGCACCGCACAGACAATGGTTGCCCTGTGTGCCCGCCTAGGGAGTGGGCCCCTGGTATGGCCTGCAGCTCCAGTCCAGAGCAGGGGAAGTGGTCTGCCCTCTGAGGGGCCAGGGGTGGGCATTGTCTGGCCTTCGGGTCTGTACACCAGGCCCCTCTGATCCTATCAGGAAGGTCAGAGCCATGTGGGTCTCTGTCTACACAGACCTGCCTCCTGATGTGGCCTGTGGGTCCCAAAAAGCCAGTGGGGTCTAGAGTGGTGGCTGGGAAGTCAGCCAAAATTGCCACAGATAATGACATGACAGTAGAATCAAGGGGAGCTGAGGCTATTGCTAGAGTCCAGAGCAGGGAAGGGGACGAAAACTGAAGACTACTGGGGACAATGTGAGCACGCTGTGATTGGTGCTTCTCGTGTTAATTCCTCTAACAAGCCTCCTCTGGGGTGGGGTGGGGGACTCACCCGGTGGGGAGTAGCAGGAAGGGCTTCTCTGGGATGTGTGTGGTGCCAGCTCCTTGGCTTTCCGAGGGAGACATTGATCCAGATTGGGAGGGGCAGCAGGCATAAGATGCTCCTTATAGATGACCTGAGCTGATCATGGAGCCTCCGTGTCTGTTGTAGTCAGGGTTTGCAAGGGAATAGATTTAATATAGGAACATAATTTATAAATATTTTATAATATTATTTTATAATATTCACTCAAAAAGTCAAAAGCAGAGGAGAACAAGAGATCTGTCCACACACCAGAGGCCCAAAGGATCCAGCTGAGAGCCTGGATCCCACAGCAGTGGCCACACAAGTCCAACTGAAGGCTTAGAGTCCAAGGCAATGTCCTCCACGAATCCAGCCAGAGGCCTAGAGCCCACGGCAGTCTCATTCCATATGGAGGATCTGCACCGGGAAGGCCCAAAGGCCAGTGGTGGGAGCTAGAAAGCCTGCGCCGGTGGAGTGAAGGATCTGTGCCACCAGGCTGAGGGATCTGCACTGGAGCTAGGAAGTGATGGTTAAAAAAAAGATCAGAGCTTCCCTGACGAGAACAGCAGCCATCCTTGGCAACAGCAAGGATCAGAGTTCCTCTGACAATGAGAACAGCTGAGTTCACATCAGGAAAAACAGCCATGGCAAGCTTTTCCAAGAAAATCAATAGCCTATGATCTTTCCCTCCAGGTCTCTTTTTATGCTGTTGGCAACAATCCCCAGGTGGGTCTTCCATGCCTGGAGCCACACTGATACCATTCAGCTGGGTGTTCCAAATTGACCATCAGTCCACCACAGTGTCTCTACCTCTAAACACATCTGTCTCACAGAACTGTAAAGGTTGAACAAGGTAAGTGATATCTGGGGAAGGTGGGGAGCTGCACTTGGCAGCTTCCGGGAGCATGCTGTTCCCAAAGATGAGCCCCATCTCTCCCTAAGCTGGGCCTTGGTCCCTTCTCCTGCCTTCTGCAAGTGCTTCTCTTCAAAGAAGACCCAAGAGTCACTCCGGCCTCAGGAGGCCCAAGTGAGGTATCAGATCTCTGGAGCCTAAAGGCCACATAGAAATGGAGTGTCAGAGCCACCCGGAGCCTCAGAGACCACCTGCAGCTCCCTCTGTTGATAACTCAGAGAGCTAAGAGCCAGAGAGGAAGAGACTGCTGCCCAAGGCCAAACTCTTGCAGCTGTGAGGTCCCAGAAGCAGCAGGAGGCCTGTCTGCTCCTCCATCCTGTGCTTCCAGAGCCTCTGACGCCAACTTCTTCCTCTGGAGCTCTTTTGTTTATCCTTTCTTGTTACTGAGGTTTTGAGTCTGTTGCACTAAAAAAGGTTTTCCTACAGTGTTCAAAGCCTTGTGGACTTCATGTCTTTTCCACAGTGGTTTTCTCTAACCGAGAATAACTTCCGTATCCCAGGTACCTACCCCTCCTGGTGGCCCATGCAACCCAGGCACTGCCAGGCATACAGAGAGCACAGGGAGGCCCAGGGTCCCACCCCATCCTTCCATAAGACCTATCTCAAATTTCCCTGAGGTCACACCGGTTACGATTTAAAACATGCTTTTACTTGTGTTACAAGAGGCTGAGGGTTCTTGGGGTTTTTTTGGTTTTTTGGTACCAGGGATTGAACTTGGGTCCTTACGCTTGCAAGGCAGGCAGCAGAACCACTGAGCTAAATCCCCGGCCCTAGGCAGAGGGTTCTAGCTTTACCTCTGCCACTGAGAAACTGTGTAACATTAACCAAGTCCCTCAGCTTCTCTCAGCCTGGTTCCTCAAGTGAAAAAGAGTTAATACCATTTTCCCTGTCTGGTTTCCAGGAAGTCTACCAGGATCAAGCAGTAGGTGAAAAATGCTGCTGGATCACATAAGATGCCAAAAGAACCACGGCTAATGGAAGCTTTCTCAAAGACCCCCCAGGACAGTGGCCTGCTCATGTCTTCTCATCTTGGGTGGCATAGACTGCCTGCAGCTGAGGACCCACTGCCACATCCTCTGCAACAGTGCCTTGTTGGCCAGTGTGTTGATGACTGACTGATAGGTATGAGTATTAAATGCTTTTGCCTCCTTCCTAATGGAACATCAGAGACCTTTCCACCAGCCTCTCCCATTGCCAGTTAGGTGGGTCTGATTCACTCTGTTGTAATTCAGCACATTCTCTGCAGCCACCATGGGAACTCTGGAGGCTCAGAAGTGGTGCTGGTCTTACTACCCTCAAACCAGGGTAATGAGGTTCTCGTGTAATCACAGGCCCAGGCAGAGGACTTACCACAGACCACATAGCTGGAAGGCAGAACCGCCAGCAGTGTGGCCGCCCAGGCATGGTTAAGCACCCTGATCTGAAATCCCATAATACTCTGCAGATTCCCATTCACTGCACTTAGTGCCCTATTGGCCTCCTTCGTGACAATAAACATCTCGAGGCCATTCTAGCAGCCTCTTGGGTCCCACTGCCTAACCCAGGACAAGGACACTTCTGTGGCACACAGCACACAGCCCAGTGATGCCCTTTGGCTCTCTGTGCAGAGGTCTCAGGTGCCCTGTTGAGAGCTCTGTGACTGCCTTGGGTTATGGAGACCTAGGGCTGTCACATCCAAATCTCCCTAGGTTTGCTAGGTCACCTCTCATCCCCTCTACTGCTCCCATGGGCTCTCTCCTTCCATCTCAAGCCAACTTCCTCCTGTCACAGACATGCCCTTACATATGCTTTCCAAACATGGACCTAGTGAGCAATCATGGCTGAATCTCAGCAGGCCCCTGCCATCACTCCTGCTTCTGGGACAACTTGCCCCAGCCTAATTACAGACACTTATCTTGGTCTTGTTGCTATTGAAAACATTTGGCCTTTTGTGAGCTCAAGAGACATACTCTGCTCTCTCTATGTGGTTAGCATATGTTGAGACTGAAAAGGTCATCTGCTTTGATGTGGAAACTTCCAGAAAATCAGAATGAGACTGATGTAGATTTCTGGAATGTTGGGTGTCTACCGTGTGCCAGGCGCTTTGTGAGCATCCCCTGTGAGTACCCTAAGCTGTGGCGAGCAGTGTGGACTGTGATCCCCTTGTCCTGGTGAAGAAACACACTCGGAGGCTGCACAACTTGAAGGTCATACAACTCCAAGTGGGAGAGTGAGAGTCACCCTGCTCAGGACATGGGTAAAGTTCATGCATTTTCCTTTAATGTGGTCTTACTCTGCACAGTAAGTCACCCAGACAGGACACGGGATCAGCAATGAATGGTGACTGGCTTAGGCCATTCCCTATGGCAAACTAATGTTTAAAGCTATCCCCCCACTTGAAAAACCATCATTTCATGATCACGTCTCTTTCTAGTTCATCTTTCCACTTGTGCTTAGTGCCAAATACCTGAACAAAACTTCCACACCCATCATCACACCTGCTCTCCACCCACCCACCTTCTCAACTCCCTGATCCATCTTTCACCCACGCCACTCCCCCCAGACATCTCTTGTTGAAGTGTTTGCGGATCTCCCTGCTGCTGAATCCAAAGTCGGATCCTCAGTTCTTGTCATGCTCACCCTCCAGGGACCATGTGACACCACACTCCCTCCCTCCTTGATACCATCAGACTTCAGGATGCCGTCTTTTTTATGGTACCAGGGATCAAACTCGGAACCTTGAGCTTTCGAGGCAGGTGGTGGAATCACTGAGCTAAATCCCCGGCCATACGTTTCTCTTGACTCTGGCTCTCAGCTACAGGTCCCACCATCCTCCAGCCCCGCTTGCTTCCAAGCTGTTTTCTATCTCCTCTCTCTCCTGCTTTGAATGGCATCAATGAGCTGCTCACACTCAAGCTGAGCGCGCCTAAACCAAATTCTGGGTTATGTTTATTATCTGTCTCCCCTACAAAATAGAAGCTCTATAAAGGTGGTGGCTTGGGGGCTGGGATATAGCTCAGTGGTTTTGCCACCTGCTGTGCAAGTGCAAGGACCCGAGTTTGATCCTTGGTACCAACAAAAAAGGTGGTAGCTTATTTTGTTCCCTATTATATTCTCAGCACCAGGAACTTAGCTGATGCTCAATGTGTTTTAGTTGACTGACTAAATGATTACTCAAGAGTGCAGATTCCTACACTTCCTGCCCTATGACATCTCAAGCATGGTGTAGGTGATGGGCTCAGTGCCAGGGACATGGCCAGAGGAGCTGAATCTCCAGTTGCATGCTATCTCCTAGAAGTGCCATCCTGCATAGGGCGGCCCTGAGGTATGGGGCTTAGAAAACAGCCAGTAGAGCAGAAAGCATGTGGCTGCCACGGGGACAACACGCCAGAGCACTGCTGACTGCCACTCCCTGCCAGAAGATGATTAGTGATAATCCCAGCCGTTCATTCAGAGGTTTACAGTTTACAAAGTGCCATCACATCTGACACTGTATCTGGGCCACACAGCTGCCCCAGAAGGTGGGCAGAATGAGGACTATGATTCCTCTCATGCAGACAGCAACCCCAAGGTACCTGGCTAGATGTCCGGACTGGGGCTGCACAGGAAGAGGCTGGGTTGGGTTCTAGCCAGGCCTCCTAGTGTCACAGGACATTACATCCTGACCAGAGCAGTTTCTACCAAGGGAAGTCGCTGGGGCAGAATGGACACATTTCCACTCTCTCAACAAACCAAACAAGAAATCACCAGTCATTTATTCTTTGGTTGTCTACAGAGACACTTAAATACTTTATTGGTGACACACAGTTGCCTGTGCAGGCCCTTCCGTGGCTCTGGGCCAGTTTCTGAGCCTTCAGCCAGGCCCGCAGGGTAGTGGTATCCTTCCACATCCGCTCCAAGAACAGTAGCACCACGCAGAAGGTGATGAGCAGGATCCCCTCGGCTGGGAAGCAGACCAAGGCTTTCCTCTGGTCCATGGCCCTCAGGGGCTGGACAGTCCAGCATGCAGGACAGTTCCTTCCCACAGCCCACTCACTCGCCCATGTGTGACCTAGCATTGTCATAGTTCATCCTTGTGCCCTGACTCACTGCCTGAGGCAGACTCCTGTCCAGGATGGGGCACATCCCCTGGGGCGTGCAGGGGCTGCTCCAGGGGGAGGTCCACTTCTTCTGGGCTGAACAGCATCTTCACCAGATCATCCGCCTGCACTCTGTCCTGCAAGGACAAACCCCACCTACTCAGAGAGGCTGGGGGCCAGATACCTGGCCCCCTTCAGCTGCTGGTTCCTCAAGAACAATGCAGCTGCTGCCCCTCTTTCCCAGGAGTCCCAGCACTCTGGGGAAGACAGCTGAGATGTGCCCAAGGAGGGAACCAAGGACTCAGCATCGCTCCTTGCTCAGGGCCCACCCCACCTGCACACCGCTGACACGTAAGGCAGGCCGAGGGAAGGCAGTGTGACCAGTGACAGCGCTGGACCCAGGAGTCTCAAGTGCAGCGCTCCTTTCGTGACCACACCTCCAGCAGCAGGATTTGGGGAAGGAGGAAGTGGAATCAGGACCCTCCCAAGAACAGATGGCAGCACAACTGTTCTTACGCGCTCACTGTGTCGAGGGTCCAGGGTGAACCACAGGGCAATGGCACAGCGCTGTCCCCTGGTGACAGCCTTCACTCCATGTGGGTTTTCAGTGCCTGAAGAGAATCCCACAGCCCGTCCACACTGGGGCTGTACCTCTGCCTGAAGGGGACAAAGTGAGTGGGACACACAGGGGAAGACAGAAAAGCCATGGGAAACTTCAGCTTGGTTTCCCGGAAGCCAGAGATAACAGTCAGTTAGGGCACAGCCGACGTATCTCAAAGCCTCCTGGGATGCGGAAGGGGCACTGGCCACAAGGAGGCCCAGCTGGTTTTATTATGCACCGGACTTGGGACATCAGCCCCAGGGATAAGAACAAAGGCACACTTACTGTCACAGTCTTGGCGTCCAGTTCGGTGAAATAAAAGTTTCCTCCATCGAAGTCCCCGTTTAGGTAAAGGATGGCACTGGGAAAGGCAGAGACACCTAACATGGCCCCTTTCCTCCCACTGCCCAGAGCCTTCACGTTCAGGCGCTTGAAACCAGCAGCGGGAGGGTGGCCTTCCATAGCAAAGCAGCTTGCGAAATGCTTCTCTGAAGCTGCGAACAGCTCGCAGCCCTCCCAACCCCCACCCTTGCCCAGGGAGTCCATCTGCTGTGCTCTGGGTGCTTCTGTGCCAAGTCCACTTGCACAGGCCTACTTGTCACACTCCCCCTGCCGGAGGCTGGGAGTAGGGACCGGGGACAGTGGGCCCTGGGCTGTGTGCACATGGGCTGAAGCTGGAGAGGCAGAGTGCAGGGCACGGAGGAGCCTCACAGGCCGAGCACAGGACTCCTGCCCCACACCTGCCACCTGCACTCATTCACCTGTAGTCCCGGAAGGTGTAGGCTGGGGGCTCCTTGATGCACATGAGGGTCTCTGCATTCAGGATGCAGTTGTCCACATGGACTGGATGGCTGCTGTCTTTCCTCTCAGCCTGCATCTCTGGGGCCAAGGAAACTCAGATTAGTGCTGGGGCAAGCAGGAGACACTGCAGTTCTACTGGCACGGGGTGAGTGTGGATTCTTCCCACAATGTGCTTGAGTCTATGGAAACCATCATGAACTGGGTTGAGGGCGGGGTTTCTCTGTCCAAGTCACAGCTTAGGGGTCAGGACAAGGCTGCAGGGTGAGCAAGGTACAGCAGGCAGGACTGTGGGACTCCAATGAGGAAGATCCCAGGCCAAGTGGCCTAACCCTGTTTGTGGCTCAAACTCTGCAAAACAGGAAGGCACAGAGAAGTGAAACAAAGGAGTTAGGAGAGCAACAGGTACAGGGTCCCGTGAGTCACAGGAGGAGCCAACTTTAGAGGGGCCACTGGGGGCAGGACACAGAAGAGGATGTACTGCACACCAGCTTAGGATGCAGGACGCACCTGCCTCAATGCACACACGGCATGGGGATGGAAGATGACTCTCCAACTGCCCCCATTTGTCCAGCCAGCCACTTCCATTCTTCCAACACCTCCCCTACAGCATCTCTCTACTTCCGCTGCTGGGTCCCAACATCAAGCCATCATCCTGGTCCCTCTAGATCACTCCTGATCAACTGCCCCACCTTGGGTTTGGCCTGCATTCACCAAATCTCTCAACAGAGCAGCAGCAAAACTAATCTTTTAAAAATGAAAATCCTGCTGAGTCCTTCCCTATCTGATGATCCTACCCTGGCTTCCCACCGTCTATACCAGTGCTCCCCTATCTTGAGGCTCAGTGACACATTCCTTTGGCTGTGCCTAGATTTTCACAGAACACCAAACATCCTGGGGGAGTGAGAAGCCACCTACCAAGGGCATGTTAGTGCCAGGGGTCCTCTGTTGGCAATGGTGTGACAGAGCCCACTGAAGCCACATGCGATTTCTACAGCTCAGTGTACCTCACCCCTGTGAGAAGGTGAAGGAAGGAGAAATAACCTGGCGCTTGCTCTGATTTGTAAAGTAAATAGCTCTTCCACAAACCTGGTACTTAACAATTAGGAACAGAGAGCTTGCAACATAGCTTATGACTGATTGAAGGCACAAACCACAAACTCTGGGACGTACTTCTCCGTGACCCGAAACCTTTCTTAGTTCCCTCAGTTCCTGGGCTACCCAGCACCTCCATCTCTGGACGTCTGCTGGTCCCTCCAGCTTGCACCAGACCCACCAGCTCTGAAACTCCAACATACTCAGCCTGTCAACTGCCCGACCTCTCAGGGAAGACTTCCGGACTCCTAGGTAGGTCGATGTGACTCCCTCCATGCTACGGT